GCCAGGGCTCCGAGGGCATTGTCACCAGGCTCACTAAGCGCCAGTGCTGAGGTTTGACTGCAGGCTGTCTGGCTCTGGGTCCTACGCTCTTCACATTTGAAGATTGGAGAGTCTGGAATAGCCTCGAGTCGTAGGATCTGCTCATTCTCTCTGCTTGGCCCCCACTTGCCACTTCCTGTCCCTCCACCGCACCTTCATCTCTGCTGCAGGCATCATGCCTTCTGCCCCGCAGAATGCAGGCACCTGCAGAGCCGGCCTGCTTATCACGCATCGCTGCAGCTAGTAGTTGTGGTAGAAACCATAACAATAATAATCATATTCTTCCACGTACTGCTGGCTACAGGCAGCCCTGGGAGTCTAGTGGTTAAGATTGGGCCCTGTCACCTTCCTACCCTGGGTTCAATTCCCAATCAGGGAACCACACCACCTGTCTGTCGTAGTCACACTGTGGGGGATGCATGTTGTGTGTGGCTGGGATGCTGAAAGCTCTGCCACTGGTATTTCAACTACCATCAGGGTCACCTGTGGTGGGCAGGTCTCAGTGGAGCTTCCAGAGTGAGACAGACTAGGAAGAAGCACCTGGCCACCCACTGCTGAAGAAACTGGCCATGAAAACCCTATGAATGGCAGCGGAGCACTGTCTGAGAGAGCGCTGAAAGGGAAGAGGATGGCACCGAAAGACCAGGTGGAACCTGCTGTCCGCAGGTTGCTAGGAGTCGGAACTGACTCAATGGCACTGACAACAAATTGCTGTCTACTCCGAGGTCAGAAGCTTGAAAATACCACACTGACCTGCTGGAGCTTCTGGGGCATCTTGGGAGGCCCCTCATTGGAAGGCATGCAATCAGCAATGAAAAGGAAGCCAAGGACACAGAGGACAGGCTTGGACAATGCCATGGGCCAGACTGAGTGCCGCCATTCGGTGTCCTGTTTCTCCTCTGGTCCCCAGAAAACAATGCCTCCCCCTCCCCCGTTCCCCTGCTATGCCCCGCCATGGCCTCAAGATGTTTCCAAACCCCTTCCTCTGGAGAGCGGAAGGCTGAGAGGTGGACACCGTGGCATCCGGGAGAGGCAGAGGCGGAGCAGATGCTTTCTCCCTAAACCCAAGAAACCGGAGAACTTTCTTGAGCCCTGAATGCATTGCATATTTAAACCTGTACCAAAACTAGGTCAAGATCTGGTCTACAAACTCTTTCTGGAAACAGCTTTCCCGTCCAACAAGAGGGAGTTTGTTAAACCACAGCCTGACCCCAGGATGTGGGACACAGCGTAGCTGTGAAAACTGAAGGGAAGGTGTTCGAGATTGTTTGTAAAGGGAAAGAAGCGGGTGGGAAAGCAGGATGGGGGCCGAATAGTGTTTGTAAAGGAAAAGCATGCAGGCACGTCTGTGTGGGCGCAGACACCTGTCTGTGTGGGACGAATAGAAAGCTCTAACTCGCTGTGTTAACTGGCGTTCCCTCTGGATTATGGAATTATGGGTGGTTTTTATTTTCTATATTTTCTAAATTTTTTTAAAAACCAGCAATGGCATATCATTAGAAAAAAACAATAGAGTTGTTGCCATTAAGTATGAGAGCTTGCATAATAAGATCTTCAAGTGCACGTTTCAAAATAAACCCCGTGCTGCCAAAGCAGAGTGTGCAAACCCAGCCACCGGGCCATGGGGCTGACCTGAACTTCTACTTTTTAAAAAAGAGTTATTTTAAAAAATCTTTCTGGGGCAGCCCTGGTATCCGAGCAGCTAAGTTTGTGTGCTCCATTTTGGCAGCCCAGGGTTCGCCGGTTTGGATCCTGGGCGCGGACATGGCACCGCTTATCAAGCCATGCTGAGGTGGCATCCCACATGCCACAACTAGAAGGACCCACAACTAGAATATACAACCATGTCTTGCGGCTTTGGGGAGGAAAGAAAAAATACAATAGATTGAAGTGATAACCTGAAATAAAGAAGAAAGGTCAAATTAAATAAAAAAAAAATTTCTTCCATAAGTTTTAAGAAATCTGATCTTGGAAGACAGCACTTGTGGGTGACATCCCTCCTCAGAGGTGGCTCTCAAGAGCCTGGGTCAGATACTGGCTGGGCTGGTAGGACCGGGGCTGGGCCAGGAGCCAGACGGGGCAGAGTCTGGGAGTCGAAGACAAATTTACCAAGTTTTGGACAAGTTTACCCTCACGTGCTGCTTGGCCCCTGGTGAGGCTTGCCAGGCCCCAACTGTGGAGGGTGCTCTGCTGTGCTGGGCTCTTGACTAACCATCCCCACCTGCCCAGCTATGGTCTGCAAGCATGCCAGTAGTGTCCTTACCTGGGTGGCAGACAAGCAGAGCAGAAACAGGTGGCTTCAGTCATAGCTGTGGGGGCCACTGCAGTCACAGAGTGGAGCATGTGATGGAGGCAGCTGGCTGTGCCATCCTGTCACCTCAGCTGCTGATGTCCTGCTTGCCCAAGGACTATGGACCTGCCCTCCAGGGCAGTGTCAGGTGGAGGTGCTGGGAAGCCAGCAGGCGCAGCTGGAGTGGCCTTGGAGGCCCACTAGGTGATACGGGCACAGGACAGTGGCTTCAGCTGGAGGTGTTTCTCAGCTGCCTGCTGGGAAGAGAGAGACTGGAACCCAGAGCCAGCGCTCACTCCTCTGAGCCGCCTCTTCAAAGTGAGGGTTACGGCTGCCAGCAGCGGACAGTCGGGCAGGGGGCGTATGAATGACCAGCTCCCTCAGCGAGGTGACCTGAGACCGTGTGAGACCGTGAGGGCAAGGCTGAAGCCGATACGCCTTTTCATGATCTAGTTTTGGGAGTTGTCACCGTCACTGTCACGACACAGCTCAGCCCCGTTCTACGAAGGAGGGGACTGCACAGGAGTGAGGACAACAAGAGGTGGATTTGGGGGGCCGTCTTGGAGGCCGGTGGCCACATCAGGAATGAAGTTTGTTGCTGAAGGGCAGGAAGAGGAGCTGACTACTCTCCTCCTCGTCCTGAGTTGCTCAGCCTTCCAGCAGAGTGTTGGGGTTGGCGGGAGATGGCGGTAACAACCACCTGGCAGTTGTGGGTTCCCCTTCCCGCTGTATTTCAAGCTTGACCCTATAACTCTGCCCCCTCTCCCACGGCCCGTGCTGAAAGCACAGAATATTGAAAGTTTATGGTGTTCTCTCAGAGCATTGTCCCCACTCCTCTTCCCATAGGGAAAAAACCCACAGACACACACCTTCCTTTAAAAAAGCATGAAAGAAAAAAGAAAATGATAGTGGATATTTCTTATTGATTTCTTATTGATAGTTCAGATAGTTTATGCAGAGACTCCTCACAGGCCCGGCAGAGCGAGAGGGACAGAAGGTCATCGCTCCAGGTCGTGGGGTTCAGGGGACCCCTGGGCGGCCCGCACTCCTGTTGTCATCTCCGTAAGGGGTGGTTGGAATGCGGCTGTCCTGACCCCCCCTCGCAGGAGCAGGACTGACTTAGGCTTAGGGCCCTGGGAAGCAGGGCGCTACCTCCCAGAGGAGAGGATGTGGTGGGGGTCCTCACCCACTGGGAATCTTAGCACACCAGCGCTCCTCTCTACATTCAAAGTCGGTTCTGGTTCTGAGAAAAGCGCAACCTCTGAGCTGTTGGCACCCTCACTTTCCCAGTGGGAGACGCAACATGCTTACTTGCCTCACTTCGAGTCCTGTGGACTCCCACCCCGTTGGGTCCACGGGAACTCCGTGCTCCTGGGTATTGTGGACGCTATAAGTGAACGGGCAGCCAGGAATGACCGACACCGTGCATATCCGCTCTGCTCACCGTACACTCCATTGTCTCATCAGACTTCACTTAAAAACGTAAGTGTAAAGATAAAATAATTCAGAATTTCGAGATGGCAACAGTGTTGCACTGAACCACGTGGGCCCAGGTACAAGGCAAGCATGTTATAGAAGCTGCTGTGCCTGCGTGTGTCATGAGGACATGGTATGCAGACAGGGCGGCAAGGGGCTCAGAGACCCTGGCCGCACGGCTGACTCCTGCAGGTGCTGTCCCAAGAGCCTGTCCTCAGCAGGGCCGGGTGAGGGCTGGTTGCACAGGCCGTGGTCAGGACTGCCCGCCCGCGTTAAGGGAGGTTCTGAGGCTGCCCAGGCTTGGTGGGAAGGGCGGCGGCCCCAAGGGACATGCACCCACACACCTTGCATCCCTGACCTCACACCTCCTTCTCAGGGCAGCTGAGTCTGTGCAGAGAAAGCAGTGGGTCTGCCCAATCTCTGAATTTGGATCCCAGGCCCCTTTGCCTTCCCTCGTCCAGCACTGAAGACATGGAAGACGTGGGCGTGGAAAGCTGTGCAGGGAGAGAATAACAAGGAGGGAGGGACTTGCATTCTCAGCCATCCTCTGTGCCAGATTCTGCCTGTGCTTACTCGACTTTGAACATCAAACCAAAAGGCTGGGGTTACAATTCCCATTTTATAGATTAGAAAACAGGCACAGAGAGGTTGAGTATCTTGCCCTAGGTCACACAGCTGGTGAGGGTGGAGCTGAGAATCAGGCCCACTATGGTCTGATCTGGAGTCCAAATGCTGTGCACCATGAGATGCTGACCCTGAGGGGACAGCAAGGAGAGAGTGAGAGAGACCAGATGCCCCACACTGAGCCAGGCACACGTATGTGCACACACACATGTGCACACATCCCTCCCTGGCTTTCACCTCTGAGGCTACGGACGTCGGAGGAATCAGGAGAGGATCCTGGAGAAGCCAAAGGTGGAGAGTGGGGGGCCTATTAGGAAAAATACTTCCCAGGAGACCAGAGAATACCATTCCCTGATGAATCTGTCTCAAATCCTACATTTCCCCCGGGCCAGGACTCGATTCTCCAATAACCTAACCAAAAGGACTCCAGGCTTATGCCAGACTTCTAGGGGCTGAGTTCCTGTGGAGATCTAGGCCAAGAGTATGAGTTCTCTGTGGCCCTCCTGGACCCTCTGCTTTCAGTGGTAAGAGGAGACTGAGGTATGTGGTCTGGACTTCAGATTTGTATGGAAATAACATTTATTAGAACAGGAGGCCCAGAAACCATGGAGGGGATTGGAATCAACATCCTCAGAGCACTGAAGGTACTCTCCTATTTGTCTACCTCATCTCTTGTCATCAAAGTGGAAGACTTGTTTAACTGGTGATTTCTGCACTCATTACACTTTTGCGAATGTAAGGGGTCAGTAGACTTCCTCTGAAGCCCCCGTTGGAGCTGGAGTATGGAGTGTGTGTGGTGGCTACATTTGTCCTCTTGGGGCTGAGACGTGATTTATCGGTAATCACTCACTTACCCTCTCTGCAAAATTAGAGCTTCTCCCCTGTGTGTGTCCTCTGGTGCCTGATGAGATTTGACTTCACACTAAAGCCTTGTTCACACTCCCTGCAAACATAGGGCTTCTCCCCTGTGTGTGTCCTCTGGTGCCTGATGAGATGTGACTTCTCACTAAAGCCTTGTTCACACTCCCTGCAAACATAGGGCTTCTCCCCTGTGTGTGTCCTCTGGTGCCTGATGAGATTTGACTTCACACTAAAGCCTTGTTCACACTCCCTGCAAACATAGGGCTTCTCCCCTGTGTGTGTCCTCTGGTGTGCGATGAGACTTGACTTCACACTAAAGCCTTGTTCACACTCCCTGCAAACATAGGGCTTCTCCCCTGTGTGTGTCCTCTGGTGTGCGATGAGACTTGACTTCTGTGTAAAGCCTTGTTCACACTCCCTGCAAACATAGGGCTTCTCCCCTGTGTGTGTCCTCTGGTGCCTGATGAGATTTGACTTCACACTAAAGCCTTGTTCACACTCCCTGCAAACATAGGGCTTCTCCCCTGTGTGTGTCCTCTGGTGCCTGATGAGATTTGACTTCACACTAAAGCCTTGTTCACACTCCCTGCAAACATAGGGCTTCTCCCCTGTGTGTGTCCTCTGGTGTGCGATGAGGCTTGACTTCCGTGTAAAGCCTTGTTCACACTCCCTGCAAACATAGGGCTTCTCCCCTGTGTGTGTCCTCTGGTGTGCGATGAGACTTGACTTCTGTGTAAAGCCTTGTTCACACTCCCTGCAAACATAGGGCTTCTCCCCTGTGTGTGTCCTCTGGTGCTTGATAAGACTTGCCCTGTCATTGAAGCCTCGCCCACACCCTCCATATTGGACTCTTACATTTCTTGACATTCTCATCTCCAGGAATAATTTGCCTGTGTCCTCTGGATTCACTTTCCGGCCTATACTGGGCTTTTCCTCCATTATTCTCTCACGCATCCTGAAGTTCTCCATTTGTCCTTTGGGTGGGTAGGAAAAGGCCCGTGGAATCCTCCTCTGCCTTATCTTTTTAAGCAAAGGTTTGGACCTTTCTTTGACCTCTTGACTGTGAGCTTTGTCTTTCCAGCTGTGTGGATCAGAGTGTTGCTGCTGCTGATTCTGGTCACCTGGGCTGGGATCCTCTGGTTGGAGGTGATTTCTTGCAGATGTTCCTGGGAGGATCTGAGAGGGGTGATTGCGTTCCACATGTTGGCTGAGGAATTTCTGACTGGAGAAGGCCAGAGAGCAGGAGGGACATGGATGGATCTCTAGCTTTGGTTCTGCTGAAAGAGGAAGTTTTTTATTAGGGTAGATGTTGACAAGGCTGCCTGGGCTGTATGCTTTGTCTCATGGTAAGGCCTGCCCCACTGATCATTCTTGCTGTGTTGACAATGCAAGCTCTGCTTCTCACCAAGTGTCCCTTTACAGTCTCTTTTTCCATTCCATTTAATTCACAACATCTTCAGAAATCCAGAAAGGCTTTTTTTTTTTTTTTGGTGAGGAAGATTGGCCCTGAGCTAACATCTGTTACCAATCTCCCTCTTTTTATATGAAGAAGATTGTCGCTGAGCTAACACCAATATTAATATTTCTCTATTTTTTGTATCTGCGATGCCACCACAGCCTGGCTTGGTGAGCAGTGTGTAGATCTGCACCCAGGATCCAAACCCGTGAACCCTAGACCGCCAAAGTAGAGTGTGCAAACTTAACCACTACGCCACCAGGCCGGCCCCACAAGGAACTTTTTTACATGATGCCTAGATTAGGGACCTTCAAGTAGCATCAGAGGCAGCCACACTGTATAGACGGGACTGCAGTGACCTTCCTCACATACAACACCTTTGAAGCCATTCACTCTGTGACACAGTGTTCGCAGCTATTTTATTCCACTGAGAGCTAACTACACTCTTGACGAGTCAGGTGGAATCGTCCTTAGTGACTTCCTGTGAAGGGAAAGGGATCTGTTAAGTTAGGAGCCACTCAGCCTGGAGACCTACAAATGGAAGGCAGGATGGAGTAGTGGTTAAAGAGAGGGCGTGTGAGTAAAGCTGAATTTGAGTCCCCATTCAAAAGGACATGTTTAATTGAGGACCCTTTGCATCTGGATCTGTCAGAAAGTAGGATGCAGATCGGACAAGACAGAGTGGTCTGGGTCGCACTGACTGAAGGACTCTGGCTCCTGCTGCCCTGACTAGGTCATGAAGTGCTTCCCTCACTTTTCCACAAATCATGAAATGGAAGTACATCCTTCATCAAGCCTCACACCAAGTATTCATACTTGATTTATTTCATTCAGTCTTAGTCTTGAATAGGAAGTCTTGTTTCAAAACATATCCCCAGCCAGACTTCTCGCGGCCCCGATGCCCATCTATCTGCAGCCAACCCACCATCCTCTCCCACTGGGAGATGAAGTCATCCCTGCGGGGATTCCCCGCTGCAGTCTCCCTTCCAAGAGTTAACCACAGCATCATCTTAGGACGGAGAACATGCCACTGCCAGCTGAAAACGGCACAATGTTCCACCTCACCCGGGAAGATCCCTAGTGCCTGAGCACGGATCATAAGCCTTCAGGCTCCTGCGGGTTGATGCAGCCTCCTTTCTTATCCTCGGTGCTCCTTTACCACCTTTCCATTGCCACTTGAGTGGTCTCTCAGCCAGTCCTCAAACACCCCACCTCTCTCCTGCCCCAGGGCTCTTGCACTAGCTGCTCCCTCAGTCTGAAACCCTTTGCCCATAGGCATCTGCACATTTAAAATGTTATCTCCTGCGGCTGGCCCGGTGGCGCAGCGGTTAAGTTCACATGTTCCGCTTTGGTGACCCGGGGTTCGCCGGTTCAGATCCTGGGTGCGGACATGGCACCACTTGGTAAGCCACGCCGTGGCAGGTGTCCCACATGTAAAGTAGAGGAAGATGGGCACAGATGTTAGCTCAGGGCCAGTCTTCCTCAGCAAACAGAGGAGGATTGGCAGCAGATGTTAGCTCAGGGCTAAGCTTCCAAAAAAAGGAAAGAGCAGTAGTTCTGATCATCTTGTTCAATCTGGCACAAAGTAGGAGCTCACATGACACCTAACTGAAATAATGAATGAACACACATCAACATACACATACCATTTAGAAACAGGAAGGAAACCAGAAGAAACAGCTAAAAGAGCCAGAAGAAACTGCCTTGGTGAGAGAGCTGGTTGGTGACTGAAAATTTGTTTTTTGCCTCTAAGCCTTTCATCACTATATGCTGTTATATATTCTGTGCATGAACAAAAATAAAAAATATAAAAAATTGCCCTAAGAGTCTGACAAGAAATTTTCACATATTGAGGTATCTGGGGTGGCTGTTCTGGTTTAAAACAAATTTGGCTCGAACTAAAGAAGCCTGACTTACAGCCTATCAAAAATATATTGTACATTTGCTTTAAGCACTGAGGTAAAGAAGGCATTAAACGTTATCTCAAAGTAAAGGAATGGACTCTGAAGCTAAGAATGCATCCTTCCCCTCCTAGGACTCCTGAAGATAAGTTTCCTTTCCTAAACACCAGGGTCATGTTGACCTGCTAACTTGCGACCGAGTATCTCTTTGAAACTTCGAGGACTATGTAATCCTGGGTGTGTTTGATGTATATTCTTTGTTCAAAGGTATAAAACTGTACTGAACACCGTGAGTCTCTGGAATGCTTTCTTCCTTTGTGGAGACTGCCTTCCTGGGTCTTAATCCTCAGGTTGGCTCAATAAAACTCACCGTATCTCTCCTCTCTACAGAACCATTATTGGTAACTTGTGTCAACAAGTCAAAGGCATGTTAAATGCGTCATTAATTCCTGAAGCATCTGAATTGAAAGTTTACTGACTTTAGACTGGATGTTACTTGACTTAGGAGTTGGACATGATAATTCCCAAGGAGAATCCTTTCTTTTCCTTCTGTTTTGAAGAAGAGCAGTGGTGCCCACCTCTCCCTGCCGTGAGCTCTCTCTTCCACTTGCTGCCCCACTTGATGCCCAGCTCCTGGCCGTACTCGTCCCCGTACCAGACCAGCAGTTCACAGCCCGGCCTGACAACCCGGCAGGTTCGGTAGAAGATCTGCCTGTGATATTGAAAGGCTACCAGGTTCTGCTCCTCATCATCCCGGGCACAGTTCACATACCTGGGGTTTAGGCAGGCAAAGGGAAAGAAAACCACAGGTGGTAAGTTCCCACTCCGTGTGTCCACCCACCTGTGTCCAGCTCCTCACCCGATGTTTATGGCCTGCCTGCTCTGAGCCCACCCATTCCTCCCACCACTCCTCGGGGAACCTTCTATTCGTACCTAAGTCGCTTTCACAATCTCATGTGAATTCCTACCTCCAAGTCCTGCTTACGTGCTCATCCTGTCTAGAATGCTTTTACCTCCTTGCCTAATTAATCATTTCCCAAAGGCCAGCTCCAGGCTTATCTCCTCCTTGGTTGGCCATAAAACCCAGTGACCCGTAGCTTCTCTGAACTCTAAATTAAGTTCTGTTTAATACCACAGAACCCAGTGCTAGATCATGGCCTCTGCTTCTAGACCAGCACACGTCATTCAAAACTCAGCCCAAGACCATCTTATTTTGAGAGCCTTTCTCCAATCTCCCCACACTTTATCTACAGTACCATCACTTGCCTCCCTCAGGTTCCCACAGCAACTTGAAGGCCTCTTTCTCTTAGCACAGTAACACAGAACAATAATAGTTTATTCCCATTCTGTATCCCCTGATAAAGCAAGAGCCCCTCAGTGAAAGGGGCAGGGTAATAAAGCACAGAGGCCAGGACCATACAGCAGCTCACTCCTACGCAGGCTTCAGAACCCAGTTTTAATTAGAACCCAGGAAGGAAGATGGGTTGCCCTCACAGATTAAAGGTTCCTTGTTTTAGGTTATCCTCGCACTGCGTGCTTCTCAAAAAAATAGGAAAATTACAGTTAAATATTCCTAAAATCAATTGTTTAATGTCTGTCTGCAGTAAGTCCTCCACAAGGACATGTGATCTGCTTAAGTGATGAACTTCATCATTGAAACTGGAGCATAGTAAGTGCCTCATGAATGCTCATTAGATAAAGTGTAAATTCAGGCCCCTAAGGCTTTTTCAAGTCTCTAAAGTTTGTCTAGCATAAAAGTTTATGTTTTGTGGACATATACTATATTTTTATCTCTTGTTTTTCTAAATGTCTCTTGAAATGAAAGAGCATTGTTTGGAGAAAAAAGAGGAACAGAGTCTGTAAAAGCCACAGATGGAGGTGTGATGAGAAGGAAAGGAATGTCGTTCTTTGTAAGGCTTGTAGGGAGAATGTCCCCTCTGCAACCCAGAAACCTACTGGCCTCACCTCATCCAGTTGGCCCAAGATATATCCTTTCCATCCACATACTCGTAGCAGTTTCTCCCTTTGGTGATCTAGGTTTCAGAAAAAACAGTTAAAAGCTTTTTTTGGTGGGGAGGTAACAGTCAGAAGCATTATTTTACTTTACTGTCATCAGTACTCTTTCAGCCGGCATGGATTCAATCACCAATTGTGACCACGTGATATGCTCCTTGCTCATCATCTACATGTCTGAGTTGATTTGTCCACTCAGGGCAGGGGTCCCACAAGGGAAGAGCCACTTCTTTGTGTCTGTGCCTCTGTGTTCCCACTTACCCTCTGATCTTTAAATAGGAGTTCCATGTTCTTGCAAAGTCCACTCAGCACAAAGAGCTAACAATGTTATCTCCATCCATGACCCAGCATGTAGAAGGTGAGGTCCCACCAGTGCACAAAAGGGATGTGGGAAGCCAGAGGACAGGGGAAGAGGTAGATGCTTCTCACCAGCCAGGAGTATCCGCTGTTGGCTGCCTCTTCATCTTCTGTGATCTGGCCCTCATAGGGGCCAAAGTGCAGACCCAATGGCAGATCAGACGCCTCGTTCCATACGCCAAGCCCAGCCTCAGGGATACCCGATGGTCTGATTCTTAGCCCAGGGGGCAGAGTGAGGGCTGAGCGGTTGGGATGCCCCTTGTCCACTGCACTGTCCTTTACAAATATAGGGGGCCCATGAGCAGCACAGCTGTCAATGAAGAAATTCTGACAATTCTCACAATCTGGAGGCGAGAGCAACAGGGATTAGGGAAAGTATTGTGCATGTTCCTGGACATAAAGAGCTTCAAAAAGAGCCCAGCACTCACATCATTTAGGTTCAGTCTTGTACTCCAAGTTACCAAAGGAGGGGAATGATTTGGGGGACAAAACGATGAGGTAAAATTATTGTACCAAGACATAACAGCCTTCTTTGTGAGTGGGCCGAGAGCGTCACTTACAGAGGTAGTCGTCATCCTGTGGCTCGCTGACCTCTTGGTATGCATGGCCCTTTCTTTCTCGTAGGCTGTACATCTTCACTCCAACCTCCTTTCTCCTGAGTTCTAAGTGAGAGAAGAGTAGGTGAATGAGGTTGGCAGAATCTGGAGTGTTAGTCCCTGTTTTATCAGAAAATGTGAAATCTCCTCCCATCAAATTATCACCTGTCCTTCTATACTCTTTTTCCTCTCCCTTAACTATTGGTTCAGAGACACTAAGACTCTGCACTGATTATAGATGCCTAATTCAATTTGTTTCTGGCTCTTCCCATGATCAAGTTTAAATTCCCAACCTTTATACTTAGAAAATAGTTCATTCACATATTTATTCATTCAGAAAATATTTGTTGAGGGCGCATTACATGTTAGGCATTGAGCAAAGGCCTGGGCATACAGCACCAAGAAAGTGTGATCACAGATGGATTTATTGGATAACCTTCATGTGTCAATTCTTTTATATTTAATTTAATGATTTCAAGCAATATCTGAGTTATGAATCCTTATCTTCACTTTATAGATTAGCATCCAGGAGCTCAGAGAATTTATAAGATTTGCCCAAGGCTCCAATGCTAACTTCAGGTCTCAGCTTAGTGCAGCTTAACCCAGGCCTATCTAAAGTCCACCCCATACATCTAGGCTGTATTCACCAACCTTACTAGAGGACTTAGAGGGACTAAAGTCCCTAAGTTATTTTATCTTACCCAATTTTCGTCTAGAGTGCTGTTCAGAGGAACTTGCTTCTCCAAGAGGAGACACTGGTTTCTGGACCTGTTCAGAGCTACTTGTCTTCAGCAATTTTGCTGTTCCTGACAATTCCTTCAATCTGGATTCATTACTTAATGGTGCCGTGCGCATTCTCTTCAAGGTGAGAGTCACATATTAAAATACAACATACTTTTTTTTAGTTCTTTAGGGCTTATGATGTGCTTTCACATGCACGACTTTAGCTAATACTTCAACAAGTCTTGGAAATACCTGGGGAGTCTGAATACTAGAGGGAAAAGAAAGGGCTTAACTGGGTAGCGAATTCAAGACCAGGACCCACGTCTTAATGTTCTTTCCCTTCACCTTTCTCTCAAATTTCTCCATAAAAGTGAGAGTGAGGGAGGGAGAATCCTTGGGAAGAATGGCTGGAGAACTGTAAGGTCTGTGAAAGACGAGGGTAAGGCTTCTAGAGAAAAAGAGGAGGTCTTCTCTGAACCAGTAGACACTTGATGGAAGAGGAAATGTAGAAAAGTGCAGAGGATACAAAACACATGTGGAAAACGAGGTGACAGAACAGTGAGATTGGGAAGAGAACAAAAAAGTGGCTGGCAGAAAGGCATCTAGACAATAAAGAAACTGATGCTAAAAATTGCAAATTGCCATGTCTTGGGAAGAATATTTAGAATTAGATTAGCTGGTTCCTGTCAATTCTCTTTGAATAAGTTTGTACCACTAGCTAGTTCTCTTCAGTTTCCTGATCCATAAGTTGGCATATATGCTAATTCTTAATGTTGTAGTGAACATGAAATATAATATAGTCACACACCTCATAACAATGCTTCGGTCAATGATGGACCGCATATATGATGGTGGTCCCGTAAAATTAGTACCACATAGCCTAGGTGTGTAGTAGGCTATACCATCTAGGACATACTATGATGTTCACACAATGGCGAAATTGCCTAACAACACATTTCTCAGAAGATATCCCTGTCGTTAAGTGAAGCATGACTGCAACATTCACCAAAATGTTTTTTGAACTATTTAATGCAGTATGACTGTGAGAGTACAGTCCAGCTATCAATTTACTCCCTCAACTGTCTCCATATTTGAAATCAAGCTCACAGATATTATCTCCAGCATTCCTTGACCCTTTTACTTGTAATTTAATTTGTAAATGTGGAATCACTCATCCAGAAAACATTCAGGGGGCCCTCAGGGGCCCTGAGGTGGGCCTGGGACTTCTGAGAAGAGCTCTCAATGCAGAGGCAGGTTAAACAAATGATTCCAAAAAACACAAAGTTGTCACATTAGAGCTCAGGGGAAGGAACCGTTCCTTCCTCCTACCAGACAGCATTTGAAATCAGCTCCAGATGGATGAGTTTCTATTGAATAGTGAACTCCTTAAGAAGCCCTTAAATCATTTTCTTTGTTTTTTCTCAATCATCAAACCTGAAGCTACTCAAGGCTGGGAGATGCTTCTTATCAGAGTGGGAGGCTCTGAGGGTGGAAATGCTATCTCTTTCTTTTTCATCTGGGACCATCCACTGCACAAATTGCCCATATATTTGTAAGCTTCCTTTAGTCACTTTAGCATAGCAAAAAGAGCTGAGGTTGAAATAGTCAGGTGAATGATGTGAAGATGTATGAAAAAGGCAGTGTATGAGCTTGTAAGTTGTTTAGAGATGGAGCTATGAATTAGCAACCACTGATACTGTGATCTCAGGCATATATTCAAACATTTCTGAATGTGTTTCCTCATCTATAAATGGTGATAATTATAGTACCTACCTCATAGGGTTCTTGTAAGGTTTAAGTGAGTTTATTCACATAAAATGCTTAAAATAAAGTTTGAAATATTGTGAAAATAACAAGTGGTAGCTACTATGGTTGCCGTTCTTATTAACTATTAAAATGATGATGATATTGGACATTGTGCTAAAGAGATCAGGAAGGGAAGGCAGCAGTCCCTGGGGTACTCTGTGCGTTCACTTACTCTTACCTGTGTTTGGATCCATAAGGATGATTTTCTTGTCAACAGGATTTGGGCAATACTCACCTTCTGTTGTTTACTCTGTTCCACTCTGAAGGCCACCCAAGAAGGTTTGACTAAAAGGTAACGAGAAATCAGTGTTTTGGTTGGTAAATGTTTCCAAATTCTGGAGCTTCTCATTAGAGATGCAGAATTCTGAATTAGAGTGTAACGAGTACAAGGATTATTTAATGGTACCTGGAAGATGGTTTCTGCAGTGTTATCAAGGCCTATGCTTCTACTGGAGACATCAAGTAATTTTCTTAAAATGTTGAAAAAATAGACAAGACCTCATCTATGCTTCATTCTATGTTTATGAGGTATGTATCTATTATATTTATTCAAAAAAATAAATTGGGCTTTAGGACAAAAAATACTCAACAAACTAGGAATAGAAGGAAATTACCTGATATAATAAAGGTCATATATGAAAAGTCCACCTCTAACATCATACTCAATGGTGAAAACCTGAAAGCTTTTCCTCTAGGATCAAGAATACAGCAAGGATGCCCACTCTCACCACTTCTATTCAATATGGTACTGGAAGTCCTAGCCAGAGCATTAGACAAGAAAAGGAAATAAAAACATCCAATTTGGAAAGAAAGAAGTAAAATTATGTCTGTTCCCAGGTGACATGATCTTACATGTAGAAAATTCTAAGGATTCCATAAAAAAAACTCTGTTAGAACCAATAAATGAATTCAGCAAAGTTACAGGGTACAAAACCAACACTCAAAAATCAGTGTCAGGGACCGGCCCTGTGGCCAAGTGGTTAAGTTTACAGACTCTGCTTCCGCGGCCCTGGGTTACGCCAGTTCGGATCCTGGCCATGGACATGGCACCACTCATCAGGCCATGCTCAGGTGGTGTCCCACCCAGCACAACCAGAGGTACTCACAACTAGAATATACAACTAGGTACTGGGGAGTTTTGGGGATAATAAGAAGGAAAAAAAAAAAAAAAAGAAGTTTGGCAACAGGTGGTAGCTCAGGTGCCAATCTTTAAAAAGAAAAAAACAATCAGTTGCATTTCTATGCACTCACAAGAACAACCCAAAAAGTAAATTAAGAAAACAATTTCATTTATAATAGCATCAAAACAATGAAATAATTAGGAGTGAAATTTATCAAGGAGGTGAAAGACTTGCACACTGAAAACTACAAAACATTGTTGAAAGAAATTAAGGAAGACACAGCAAATGGAAAGACTTCCCGTGTTCCTGGATTTGGAGATGGAACATTGTTAAGATGGCCACAGTACTTGAAGCAATCTAAAGATTCAATGCTATCTCTGTAAGAATACCAACGGCATTTTCTGTGAAAGAGAAAAAGCCATTCAAAAGTTAATATGGAATCTCAAAGGACCTCAAATAGGCAAAACAATCTTGAGGAAGAACAAAGCTGGAAGCCTCACACTTTGTGATTTCAAAACATATTACAAAAATACAGTAATCCAATGGTATAGTATTGGCATTTATATAAACCAATAGGACAGAATAGAGAGCCCAGAAATGAACTTTTGGGTACATGGTCAAATGATCTTCATCAAGGGTGCCAAGACCTCACAGTGGATAAAGAATAATGTCTTCAACAAACGGTGCTGGGAAAATAGACTATCCACATGCAAAAGAATGAAGATGGACCCTATCTTACACCATGTACAAAAACTAACTCAAAATGGGTTAAAAACCTAAATATAAAACCTGAAACTATAAAACTCTTAAAAGAAAACAAGGGGAACATCTTCATGACATTGGACTGGGCAATGATTTCTTGAATATGACACTAAAAGCACAAACAACAAATACAAAAATAGACAAATGGGACTACATTAAACTTAAAAGTTTCTGTGCAGCAAGGGACACAATCAACAGAGTAAAAAGGCAACCTATAGAATGGGAGAAAATATTTGTAAAGCGTATATCTGATAAGGGGTTAATATTCAGGATATATAAAGAACTCCTACAACTCAATAATAAAAAGCCAAATGACCCAATTAAAAATTGAGTGCTATGGATTGAATTATGTCCCCCCAAATTTATATATTGAAATCCTAACCCCTGATATGATGATATTTTGGAGATGGGACCTTTGGGAGGCAATTAGGGTCAGATGAGGTCAGGAGAGTGAGGCCCTCATGATGGGATTGGTGCTCTTAGGAAGAAGAGCGATCTCTCTCTCTCCCAGAGAGCAAGCGCTTACAAAGAAGAGGTCGTGTGAGCACACAGCAAGATGGAGGCTGCCTACAAGCGAGGAAGAGAACTTGACCATGATGGCACCCTGATCTCGGACTTCCAGCTTCCAGCACCGTGAGAAAACAAATTCTGTGGTTTAAGCCACCCAGTCTGTGGTATTTTTTTAATGGCAGCCCGAGCTGACTAATCCCACGGGAAAAGGATTTGAATAGGCATTTCTCCAAAGAAGATATATAAGTGGCCAACAAGCATATGAAAAGATGCTTAATATCACTAATCATCAGGGAAATACACACTAAAACCACAAGGAGATATTATCTCGTATGCATTAGGATAGCCATTATCAAAAAACCAGACAATAACAAGTGTCCTCTACGGCAAGGACGTAGAGAAATTGGAAGTCTTTGATACTGTTGGTGGGAATGTAAAATGTGGTAGCCACAGTGGAAAATAGTATGCAGCTTCCCCCAAAAACTAAAAATATAACTGCCATATGATCTAGCGATCCAACTTTGGGCATATATCCCCACAAAATGAAAACAGGATGTCAAATAAATATTTGCACACCCATGGTCATCGCAGCATTATTCACAATAGCCAAGACGTGGAAGGAACCTAAATGTCCATTGACAGATAAATGGATAAAGAAAACATAGCGTATGCATACAATGGAAAACTATTCAGCTCTAGAAAGGAACAAAATCCTGTCATTTGCTGCATCATGGATGGACACTATGCTAAGTGAAATAAACTGATCACAAAAAGATAAATACTACATGATTCCACCTATATGTGAGGTCTCCAAAGTAATCAAATTCACAGAAACAGAAAATAGAATGGTTGTTGCCAGGGCCTGGGGGAGGAAGAAATGGCAGTCGTTCGATGGCTATAGAGTTTCAGTCTTTCGAGATGAAAAAGTTCAAGAGACGTGTTGTACAAAAGTGTGCATATAGTTAAAAATATTGTGCTGTACACTTAAAATTAAGATCATAAATTTATGTGGGTTTTTTGCTGTCAAGTGTTTTTTTTTTTTTAAATGAAATATTGGGGAGAGGCATTTTTTTTTAAAGATTTTATTTTTTTTCCTTTTTCTCTCCAAAGCCCCCTGGTACATAGTTGTATATTCTTCGTTGTGGGTCCTTCTAGTTGTGGCATGTGGGACGCTGCCTCAGCGTGGTTTGATGAGCAGTGCCATGTCCGCGCCCGGGATTCGAACCAGCGAAACACTGGGCCACCTGCAGCGGAGCTCGCGAACTTAACCATTTGGCAACGGGGCCAGCCCCTGTTACGTGTTTTTTTACACACACACACACACACACACTCTGACTGGGTTGGGGGGTTTAGCCGGGTCTGGATAAAGACGTGCAGGCATATGGTAAATCATGGGACGCCTGTTCCCTATGGAGACTGACTCCACATCAAAACCCTTGTGGACGACCATGAGTTGGGTGTTCGGATCTCTTATGCTGCTTTTAAGAGCCTGAGGAATCAGAAACCCATAGAGGGGGAATCACCACCTCATTTAAGCTGCTTTCTCCAAGTCAGTCCGGTTGACTCTTGGTCTAAACTCTCCTGTCTGAGCAGCAGAAGAGGAAGGGAGTTTCTCACTTGGGCTTTATAATGACTGTGTGTTGTTTCATTCAGCTGATGCTGTCTCTGGTCAGTGACGCGTGGGAAAGATCAGGGAGACCAAATAATTCTCTCAAACCCTCTCACAGACGCAGACCAAGCTTCAGGTTCCTCGTGGCGGGAAGATCGTGTGGCGCATCCATAAATAAATCAAGGATCTTTACACCATATGTCAATCACTTCCTCTTCCGGGACATTCGATGCCATAACTGAACCATCGTGGGATTAGTGTTAGAAAGCTCTTGGGTGGATTTACAGTCTAATTCTTTAAATGCTTTTTCATTAATTAACAGTGTTTAGCAAAGATAACCTTTTTTTAAAGAGATGATAAATTTTAAACACATAGAAAAGCACGGAGAATTATACTGAAAAACCCATACATCCGTCGTTCGCTCATATCTCAACATTCTGCCACGACGGCGTCAGATACTTTTAGCTCTATGTCAAAACTCAAAAACGAACAACAACTAAGGAAGACAGCGAAGCCGCGCGCCAGCCCTTCCTCCTTTGCTTGTGAGGACAGCTCTTCCGAATTTGGTGCTTATTCGTGTTCGGATTTTGCACGTTTGCTGCTTCTTAACGCATCCATAAATGGCATGCGGTCGCTTCCCCGCCGAGCGCCGTGCGGCCGCCCTCCCGCGCCCCGAGCCTGTACGTTCGGGGGGAGCACAGGCTCCCCCGAGAGCGGGCCGGTGGGTGCAGACGGCGCCTCGACCTTCCAGCCCTCACCTTGCTGCCTTGGCGTCCACTCCTCATCCGAGTCCTCGGCGTCCTCGTCCCGGCGTCTGCTGGCCCGCCTGCGGTGGCACATGAAGGCCGGCCGAGGCGCCCTGAGCCCTGGAAGGAGGCAGACTCGATGTCGGGAGGGGAAGAGCGCGCCGGAGGGAACGGAGGCCCCGCAGCGGGCGGGCCGGGAGCGTGTGGAGCCCGCAAGCTGTGGCTCCGCGTCCCGGAGGAGCGCGGTCCCCCGCAGACGTGTCCCCACGGAAGGGGGCCCGGCGCACGAGCCACCCGAGAGCGCCGCCTCCCGCTCCCCGCGCCCGGCGCGCCCGTACCGATGGTAAGCAGCGCTTCGTAGTTCCGTTTCACGTTCCGGTACCGGCTCTTCTCCCAGTCTCCCATCTCCGCCCACACTTGCTTGGAGAAGTACACGGAAATGTCCTTGAACGCATCCTCGGCCTGGAGAGACGGCAGCTTCCATCAGACCGGGGGCCCCGCGTGCGCCGCGCCGGCCTCCGCGGCCTCTCCTCGGACTGCGGACCGCGCGCCACGCGGGCATCTTCGCAGCCTCCCGACGCGGGCCGTCGCGCCGCCGTGTGCCGCGCCTCCTTCCGTGCACCCCGCGGCATGAGGGCTCCCGCAGGGCCCGCGCCCCCTTCCGTGCGCCCCGCGGGGTGCCGCGCCCCCGCCGGCCCCTGGAGCGGGCCTCGGCGCCCTCCCAGTCCGGCCCTCTCCCTCCGCGGACCCCTCACCGTGGCCCCCCGCCGCGCGCTGCCCTGGTCTCCCGCGGCGCTCTGCTCGGGGCACAGGCGCGGGCTCACGGCGCCGGCGCTCATCGCGCTCGCTCGGGGCGTCCCGGCCCAGGCGGGCCCTGCGGAGGGAGAAGCGACGTGAGCGGGCGGCAGGCAGCCGCGGGCCTCCTTCGGCAGGGCGTCCGGAGCGGGGCGCGGCCGGAGAGGAGGATTCCTGCCAGGTTTGGGGGCTCCGCTGCGGAGTCTGGAAAACCCGGCGGAGGGCGGCCCGGCTACGGACGCAGGCCGCTGGGGTCAGGGGATCCGGGGTGTCAGGCTGAGGGGACCCGGGGTCTCGGGCTGAGGGGATCCGCGACCTCGGGCTGCGGGGATCCAGGGTCTCGGGCTGAGGGGACCCGGGGTCTCGGGCAGAGGGGATCCGCGACCTCGGGCTGCGGGGATCCAGGGTCTCGGGCTGAGGGGACCCTGGGTCTCGGGCTGAGGGGATCCGGGACCTCGGGCTGAGGGCACCCGGGGTCTCGGGCCGAGGGGACCCGGGGTCTCGGGCCGAGGGGACCCGGGGTCTCGGACCGAGGGGATACAGGACCTCGGGCCGAGGGGACCCGGGGTCTCGGACCGAGGGGATTCGGGGTCTCGGGCCGAGGGAATTCGGGGTCTCGGGCCGAGGGGATCCGGGGTCTCGGACTGAGGGGATCCGGGACCTCGGGCTGAGGGGACCCGGGGTCTCGGGCTGAGGGGGTTTGGGGTCTCTGGCCGAGGGGATCCGGGGTCTCGGGCCGAGGCAGCTCGGGGCCTCTCCAGGTCCTCTGGCCTCGAGGTGAGTCGGCCCTTGAAGCTGGGGTGCAGCCCCCCGGCCCTGAGGCGGGCCTTTGGTCCCTCCACCCTGGTGCTATGTTTAGAGCCTGTCAGGCCGAGGGGGCTTGGGCTCCTCAGGGGCTTTGGGGAGTCTAAGCTTTAGGGCATTTGAGGTCCCTGAAGCTGAGGTGCTTTGGGGTCTCAGGCTGAGGAGATTTGCGTCCCTCGGGCTGAGGGAATTGGGTTCTCAGGTCCAGGGGACTTAGGCTCCCTCCAGGTGGAGGGATCTGGGGTCCCCTGAGGCCAACTGCGCGGCGCCTCTCCGGGTGCGGGGCTCTGGGTCCCCCAAGCTGAGGTTGGAAGGGCTCGGGCTGAGGGTTTCTGAGGGCTCGCGCGGCCCGGGGCTCCTGTCAGGCTCCCCGCTGCGCTACGCGCTGCCCACCCTGGCCCGGCGCCCTTTCCGCGGCTCTGCGCGCGGCTCGCCCTCGGGAGGTGAAGGCGGCGGAGCGCGAGCTCCCTGCTTGTAGCGCCCGCCCAAGCACAAGCCGCCAATCAGCGCTGCGACCCAAGCGGTCCAGCCAATTGGCGGCCAGCAGAGGCTGAAGGGCGGAGCGCAGGGCGGAAGCGTGCCTGTCAGTCGCCGGCGGAACACAGTCCTGAGCTCGCGCGGCCGCGGCGCGGCGCGGCTTTCCCCGCCCCTGCACGAGGTCCTTGGCTGCTCTGCGTCCTGCGCATGTCTGTCACGAAGCCTCCAGCGCGCAGTCGCGGTGTGGGGTATTTCGTTGCTTGCGGACCGGGGCATCGGGGAAGGGGTGGCAGGCAGGAGCTCGCGGCGGCCACCGGGCGGCGCAGGCCGAGCCTGGAGCGTCGCGCGGGCGGCAGGTCTCTGGGGTGACCGTGGCCGTCCTGTGCCCTGATAGAGATTCTTTGCTTCACCAGACTTTAGGCAGGCTTCGAACTTTCTCCTAGGCGCGTCTGTGTTCGCCTCCCGGGGGTACCGTGAGGTCGGGGGGCGGCGCTGGGTGGGGTCTGCGAGCGGAGGGCGCAGGGGTCGCCGAGCCTGCGGGATGCTCGCGGTGCCCGCGCTGCTCTGCGGGCAGCTCCCGGCTGGAGCCCCCCCGGGGCTGCGAGGGCCGCGTGAGGCTGTGAGCAGGCCAAGCTGCTCTTCAGGCGCTCGCGAAGAGCCGGCCGTGGGGGCTCCGGGAAGCCTGACGTCTAGACTGTCCTCGCTGATCTAGATAGGAGATACCTAGCTGTGGGAAGCCCTGCGAATTCTAAGCTGGACGAAGAAAAGAAAATTAGCTCAAGGACGGGGCGTGGCAAACTGCTAACAACCGACAACAAAGAGGAAACCTTGAGATCCATGGCAAACAGATTACCTTTGAAGGAGCCGCCAGTCAGCCTTACAGATGACCTCACAAGAAAAGATTAAAAGCCAGAGAACAATGGAGTTTTAGCTTTAATCTGGTGAAAGAAAATAATTTCCAATCTAGGATTCTAACTCAGCAAAATATCACTCGAGTGAAGGTGAAATAAGGACATTTTCAGAAAAACAAAAACCGAGAGAATACGGCCGACTCACTCTAAAGGGTGTTTTTTAGGCAGAAAGAAAATTATCCCAGTTGGAAGCTCTAGATGCTGGAAAAATTTACGAAAAAATGAAGTATAAATCTAAATAAATATGAACTGCTAAAAATAATAAATAGGAACTGCATAAAATAATTTGGTTTAAAATGTGTGTGAAATTAAATAAAAACAGTAGCATGTAAATAGGGTGAAATGTAAAGAGATCTAACTCCATTGTTCAGGAAGAAGGAAAATACCAAATAACGTTAAGCTTTGATGAGTCAATGATGCCTATTGTAACCACCAGATAACTACTGAAACATTAATTTCAAAAATGTGTGGCTACCAAGCTTCAAGATGAAAAAAGTGGAATAAGATACAATGCAATAAATGCCCCGTTTACAATAGCAAAAACAAAACACAAATAAAACAACAACAGAATCTCCCAAACCAAAATAAAAGACTTGGAAACAAATAAGAACAATTTAAAAGGCTCACGACAGAAAGAAAAGAAGCAGATGGAAAGACACACACACTGTCATTGGGCAGAAAGACTTGGTGTTGTACATATGTCAGTTCTCCGTATGCTAATGCAATGGTAATGTCACCCCAATAAAAATAACAATTTAACCTAGAGAATTTTTCAAGCTGTTTAAAAGATTATGTGTAAAATAAGCTTGAATAGCAAGGAAATTTTGAAAACAAGAGTAATAGGTGGGCTAGCCTATCAGACATTAAAATTTGCTATAAGCATTAATATTAAAACTGTGTAGTTTGGCAAATGAATATACAGTCAGATCAATATAATATAAAATCCAGAAGTAGGCCTTGGACAGGTTAATTTATGTGTCAACTTGATTGGGCTCAGGGATGCCCAGATACATAGGGGGTAAAACAATATTTCTGGGTGTGTCTGTGAGTAGGTTTCCGGAAGAGATTATCATTTGAATCTGCAGACTGAGTAAAGAAGATCTGCCCTCACCAGCGTGGGTGGGCATCATCCAATCCATTGGGGGCCCGAATAGAACAAAAGGTGAAGGAAGGTTGAATTCTCTCTCATCTTGAGCTGGAATGAAATGGAATGGGGGCTCCTTTTCCAACCCCTGGACATCAGAGCTCCTAGTTCTCAGGCCTTCAAGACTTGGACTGAATTATACCACCAGCTGTCCTGGTTCCCAGCTTGCAGACAGCAGATTGTGGGTCTTCTCAGCTTCCATGTAAGTCAATTCCCATGATAAAAATCCTTTTATCTAGGTCTGTATATATCCTATTTATTCTGTTTCTCTGGAGAACTCTGACTAATACAAGCCCACATGAATACAGTGACATGGTCATTAAGGAAAGTAAATTTCAATTTTGGAGGAAAAGATACACTCTTGGGAGATTGTGGAGAAACAGGCTCTGTCCTGAAAGGCTGGGAAGAGGGGTATGTTGGTGCAGCCTCTGTGGAGATCGTTTTGACGATAGCTATCCAGGTGTAACGTTTTCATACCCTCTGACTCAGAAATTTCACTTTTCAAAATGTAACAGATAGTTTTACTTCCCTTGTATGACATTCTTTTATAATAGCAAGCAACATTTTTATAATAGCAAGAGATTTAATTTTTTAAAAAGTGTTCAGTTTAATAATTTATTAAATAATAATAATAATTTATTAAATTATCTTTTGCCTATAGTGTGGAATATTATACAACTTTAAAAATGAGTGAGGGTATAGTATGTTTTGATAAAAAAATTAAAACCTGGTGATGTGGTTCTAATGGATTTTGAAATAGAATAATTTCTAAGCAGTATTGTTATGTGAGAAAAGTAAATTTCAGAACAAATTGTGTTAATAAAAAACCCAGCCAGAAGATGTATGTGTCTGGTTATGCGTGTGCAAAGGAGACACAGGGCCTGGCCTGGCGCCAGGAAGACTTGCTTTTCCTTTCTGTCATTTGGAATGTTGTATCTTTTTCTTTTCTTTACTTAAAAAAAAAACATTTACAAATATTTCCTGTAAATGACTTAAATACTCCTTAAAAGAAGAAATGAAAAGTAATAGGTTATATACATATTTAAAAATGACAGAACAAAAATTCTGTACAACCTCATTAAAGCCAGCGGCCCATGCTGCTTTCCTTATCTGAATGATGAACCTTGACCACCCAAAGGCTGGGGGTCAAAGTGTCCAAATTTCCTCCAAAGCTCCATTCCAGCAGGTAAATTCTCATAGTTCAAAATATCATGCTGTGTCACATAGTTACTGTTACTATCCAGACACAGCTGGTTCCCAGCACTGTCTCTGCTTAGCAAGCTAATAGAACTCCTAGAAACATCTTTCATACATGTGTCTTTGAACACAGTGTTGCTGACAGCACAGTGTGTTAAGAGCATCCATGAAATAACACTTATCTGAACTTTGCAAGTAAATTGCACTCTTAGAAACGCTCAGTACCCGTGTGCCTTTAAATGCTGATTAGATCCACTGCCCTGCCGTAAAGCGGTCGTTCAATGAAACACCACTCCTGTCAAATAAGACGCAAGCAGCCTGCATAAAAACACCTTTAAATGTGCATTTATAACTAATTTTTATTCACTACATGATGAACACACAATTCAATGAAATAACAATTTTGAAATTTGAAAGCAAGTAGCATACTTAAAAACAAAGATTAAGGGCCAACCCTGTGGCTGAATGGTTGAGTTTGCATGCTCTGCTTCAGCAGACCAGGGTTTCGCCAGTTTGGATCCTGGGCGTGGACCTAGTGCTGCTCAGGCCATGCTGAGGTGGCATCTCACGAGCCACAACCAGAGGACCTACAACTAGAATACACAACTGTGTACTGGGGGGCTGTGGGGAGGAGGAGAAGGAGAAGGGGAAGTGGAAGAAAAAGAAGATTGCCAATAGACGTTAGCTCAGGTGCCAACCTTAAAAAAAAAGAATAACAATTATAGTTGTACATTTAATCTTTTATGCACGTACTACATGCAGGTCACGACATTCTAATGCATGAAAAACTCTTTAAATACATATATTACAGTGAAATGTGGGTAGGGATGAGGGAAGAGGGTGAGAGTGAGGGTTGGGGTTAAGGTTAGGGTCAGTGCAAGGGTGTGGGGGGTTGGCTAAGGGTTATGGTTGGGTTTGGGTTAGGGTATGGGTTGGGGTTAGGATTCAGGTTTGGGTTCAGGTTCAGGTCAGGGTTTAGGGTTTGGGTTTAGGGTTCGGGTTAGGGATTGGGTTGGGGTTAGGCTTGGGTTAGGATTTAGGGTTTAGGGTTTAGGGGTTGGGTTCGGGGTAGAGTTCAGGTTTGGGTTAGAGAGTTAGGGTTCACGTTGTTAGGGTTGGAGTTAGGGCTGTTGGGGTTGGGGTTTGTGTTAGGGTTCCATTTGCAACAACATGTATAGACCTTGAGGATATTATGTTAAACTGAATAAGTCAGACAGAGGAAGACAAACACCATATGATCTTACTCACACGTGGAAGATCAACAAACACATAGTCAAGGGGAGCAGATTGGTAGTTACCCGAGGGAAAGGGGGCGAGTGGAAAGGGAAGGGGATAAAGGGACACATACAATATATATGGTGAGGGATAAAACCTAGACCATTTGTGGTGGACACGGTGCAGTCTATACAAAAACTGAAATACAATAATGTACGCCTGAAATATGCCGATATGCCCTCAATTATGTAATAATAAAAAAAATCCCAAAATGTAATTTCTTAGGTTTTTGCATCTTCCAAATGGCATTGGACTGTGGAAGAATACATTGAAAAACTACCAATATACCTTTTCACAGGAGAACAATAACACATAGCCTGAGTGTAGCATTGAAATGTCATGGTTGATGCACTTGTGGGCCATGCTGGGTTTTTCTGACTGCCTCCTCCTTATGAAGGTCAGGCTGCACATTTTGGGTAAGAACATGGCCTGGTGATGGTGTGAGCCCTTTATTGTGACCCATCAGGGACATGGTCTCTGTTATCCACTCCTGATGATATTAATTTTGATCACTTGGTTAAGAGAGTGACTTTCGTTTTTGCAACTAGTTAATGAGATGGTCTGTTTCTCTGAGCTCATGTGCACAG